AATTTTTTGTATGTAGCTAAACAGGTTTATCGATTTTAGAAAGATATTTACATTGAAATTAATATTTCAAATATCTAGTTTTGTGAGAAATTATGTTGTGAGAAGTCATTGCCGGTTTGTATTAACAATATATTTGTGCGTGTACCAGCCAGAAAGTTTAGAAATTAAATCGGGCTTTTCACGTTTGTTCATTTAAGCATAAATCTGTGTAATGGCGTATCTGCGCCGTGTCCACCGTAGGGATCGAATCCCGAATTGTAGCACTATATTCCACAACAAACCGCTGCTCCACCGTCGGGCTTTGTTTTTTTTAAGACTCCAGGAACTCGAGGGCAGTTTCATTACTGATTGTGATTTTATGTTTGATATGTAGTTACTTAATCGGAAACATTTCTCCAGAACAACTGACATTTATATATTTCCCAGAAGCAGTTTGTAAACTCGTTATTACTAAAGTACAAGCTTATGTTTAACATAGTCTCTCTCTGTGTATATATATAGGTGTGTGTAGCACATATTCATTTTACTTATAAGAAACCTAATGGGCCAAATTTTGACCTTATATTACGATTTATCCAGTAAATCAAATTAATATGACTTTGGTTGATTAAATAAATCAAACTGGCTGTTCATGAGCAGATAAAAAGTTTCAATGTAGAACGGCTATTTTCAACTCAGTAGGCGAATTTTCTGACCGTCAAGTACGTGGTATTTCCCGTTGCTAAATGTTTTTCCTTCTTAAGCTTGGGTACCCACATTTATTTCTCCGAATTTTTTTGTTCCCTGCACGAGCAAGAAAGTAATTTTTGTTTTTCTTGTAACATGTGAGAAACCCATGCTGTCTTGTTTTTGTTTTTTGTTTTTTTTTCCTACCACCTTGAATGAATTGTCACGAATCAATATAGATGTGAAATATTGTGCGTAAAGTTGTGTGATGATGTGAATTTTGAACAGTATTCTTCTGGTCACAAAGTAAGAAATAAAACTTTCAGAAGCAATCGAAAGAGAGAAAAAAAATAGGATCTTACTGCTGGCAGATCACCATCTTTTCTTTTTTTGTTCAGTATATTTCTTGTAATAGTTAAACTAGCACATAATAAGGTTGTTTACGTAGGCTAAAATAGCAGTAATACTTGTTTCCACTTTTTTCTTTTTTTTTCAGAACTTGGAACTTTAATAAAAATCCTTCTGGGTTTGTCTGCATAAATAGTCAATTATAATTCAAGTGGTACAAGTGTCAGGCTCAAGTAATATTTAAGTACCAAGCGAGTAATATATATTCATAGTTTTCAACAGTTTAATACTCTGTCTTGTTCTCTTCCTCCGTTCACGCGTTTGCAGTCATTACATATTTTCAAAAATGTTTTTAAATCGTTGCCATTTCAGCCGATCGTTTGATTGTTATATTATTCACTGGGTATTACTATCATATCAATTATTATTGTTGCAAGACTTAGACTCTCTCGAAACTTGGAATGTTAACGCTAGGCTCAAAAGTTGCTTTCATTTTAAAATTTATACCAAAATATTTGTTTGTAGAGGGTCATTGCTTTTTATTGTGTGTTGCCGCGTTCACTGAACCTAAAATAACTAAGGGGTTGGTACTATAGTTATTTTTACAGTAACTCTTTAAGAGATCTAAACTGTAATACGTTAAAATCTATGCCTAAGAAACATAATTATTGCTGTCAATTGAAAATATTTTTATTATATTATGTCCTCGAAACAAGCTCGTGATGAATCGATATATTATGAATAACGATGTTATTTCTGTTTATTTAGCTTTGTATAGTTTGTAATGCAGATTTTTCCAGAAGGCTAAATGTTAGTAGTTCAACCTTTCGCTTCGTACTTATTCGATACTTTCATTGACCTGTATTACATGCAGCGAAAAGTATTAATTAACAAAGACACCAAGTTCAAATTAGTGTTATTTGAATGTTTTTTTTTTAATAAACCTAATTATCATTTTTCACTCAAGTACGTAATGATTATAATAAAGCCTGAAGCTTTGTGAAACTAACTGGACTTTGGTAGATGTTTTGTGTGAGTTTTGAATGTCTTTGTGTAACGAAAATTGGGTGATAACTGAACTAAATAGTGGTTGAACGGTATTGATAACTTTATTTGTACGAAGGAAAGTTTTAAGTACTTAGAATTTTGTTAGTTATACATGATTGAAAGTGGATATTTCATCTAAATTAAAGGCAGGGAAATAAAAGTAACATCGCATTAGAAAGTACATTTCTTGCGTGAAAATTTTAGCAGTTAGAGGGTACGCGGGTTACTTTAATTCCACGTAAGAACGAAAATGGACAATAAACTTATGACGAAGAAAGAGGTTGTGTGTGTGTGTGCTCTGGAATATATAAATTCGCACCATTAAAGGTTACCTTTGAAATAACGTCAGTGATTGGATACCTTTCGTAGAATCACATCTAGTTCATCAGTTTCCAAATTTAGTTTAACAGCTTGCAGCGGCACTTGCTAAGAATGTATTTCTCCGCTGACACACCACTCGAATGTAATGTATATGTTTGTATGGATATCTATGTTGATTCTACTCTTGCACATATAATTGATAAAGTATTTCTTTGAAAAACGTCACGAGTTGTTTACTTTCTCTTTAACGTAAGTAACTTATACAATTGTAATCGTTTCTGTTTACAAGATTTTGCATAACGAAAATGTTATGTTTATATTGAATGTTTTGTTTTTGAATAACGCTGTAGTATTTCATAGTAAACTGCTTTTATTGTTCAGTAACATAGCGTCGAGATGGCCTCGCTCTTGCTGAGTTGGCGTTTTGTCAGAGTAGCTTGCAAGTTCCTGCGTTCTTTTAGCATTGAGTGGGCTTATACCTAGAAAAGCGACAAGGAAACGGACCAACGCATCGACGTCCGCTCGATTCCTTCATTAGGTAGTTCTTTTCTCCTTGCGTGATATTGCAGCCAATGCCATGCGTATAACTTAAGTTTTGACGGTCTAGATAAAGCTAACAAGCATAAACCAAACTACTGTTGCTTAGGCCGGAAATAAAATAAAATTGAATATTGATAGAAGCTACGAAAGTACAATAGCGGACAATCAATTGCAAAACTTTCAGATTGAAAATTGAAGGAATACATATTGATCGACGGAGCTAAGGTAGCCTTGTGAATATAGGCGTACATCTGTCACTGTTGTAAAGGCGTAGTTACATCTTAAATCGTTCACGTTGAACGGCCTTCTCTACCGAGAAAACACATTTAATAAGTGTCTGTAATATTCCATGCGCTATGTGATTTCCTAACTATCAACACCAATAAAAACAGACTGCGGGGAAATTCACATAAACGTGAGTTATTTGTCTAGCTGTTCTGTTCTGAAGTTACATTTACAGGAAATATTTTATTTTTCTTAACTTAAAATACAAGATACCTGTTTCGAGAAAGTCGCTTGGCAACTGAGAGTATTAATGAAAATGTATTGTCTTTAGTTTTAGTAGTTTACAAGAAGTCTGTGGTGTTGATGAATTTCCGTGTTGATAGAAATATTTCAAGTGTTTTTAGAGGCGTTTATTGTCGATGCTGATATTAGGGATGTCTCCTTCAAAACCCTGTTGAGTCTTTTTTACATTCGTATGTTAAGGGACTGAACTGGGCTACATGTTGGTCACGAACTAGTGGTTCGGGAGAAAAGTTTCATTTTTATGAATTCGTTTAACTTTGAAGATTGTGCAACTAGTGTCTTGAGTGGAATTACTAGTAATATTAAAGCATATATTGACAGCGTCAGACGGTGACAGGTATAAACTATGAAAGGGTAACAGAAAGGGGCAATAAAGTATTAATAGGCTTTATTTTTCTTAGTGTTCGACATTATCATTAAAATTGACTTGCCGTATGTTTTCTTTATAATAAATTAACTAATAACAGTTTATTAAGTTACATATTTTGGTATTTAAGTTTCATTGTTCAATACAAGTACAAGCTGCAATTTAAACGTGAAAGTTGGAAAGCATTGGAACCAATAGGCTAACATTTATGATAAATAACATCACTCAAACTGCATTTGTTGTTGTTGTTGTCGTTGTATTTTGTTTCCAGGTCTTCCTAATTTGTCCATTTCCGATTCCAAATCAGAGGTGTGTGTTAGTGTTGAAATACTATTTCGTGTATATCTATATGCTATTTTTACACACCTCTGATTTGGAATCTGAAATGGACAAATTAAGTGGAATGTGAAAAAAAATATAAAATTATCAACTCAGTTGTTAGCTTGCTGGTTTACAATTCATAAGATGAAGTGTAGTTATAAATTATAAACATTTACGATATTTGCATTAATCAGAATATTTTATATAAACTCAAATTCCACCAATCACCCAAATTTATCATTCTGTACTCATTTTATTATCTTGGTAGACATTCACTACTACAGCTCCTTTGAGTGTTGGATTGCATATTTTGTAATTTTTACTTTAGAACTATATATTACTTTTAATAATTATTTTCAGTAAGCTTAATTACTTATGATTTTGTTTATGATGTAAAAATTCTCAACAAAAAATCTGAAAAGAGTGATGAGCATTTATATTTTATATTCAATTTAGTAAATTAAAAATCAAAAATTTCTTATGCAGGATTAACGTTGCCATTAATAACAAAGGTACACTGCAGTTTTGGATTTTGTAGCATGCAAGTGATGCATCAAATAATGATTATTTGTTCATCTTTAATAGTTTTTAAATCCTGCATGACCTGTAGAAGTAATTGTACTGAACTGTTGGTTTTAGTAATATTTTACTTTGATTTGTGCTGTTCACAAAGGAAACTGATTTTTTTTCTAACACTCAAAACCGAAATTATTAAGTCTTATAAACTTGATTGTTTTGAATGCTCTTTTTATTAGTTTAATTTCTAAGTTTCAGCTTCATATTAGTGTTGATTTTAGTGAATATAAATATAAATATTTACCTTTTCATAATCTACTATTTTAATTTGTGCTTCTGTTTTCAGAGTAGCAGTTTGAATTAGGAAATGCATTATGATGATACAATAGTATTTCCTTCATGACTTCTATATTCCATTCTTGGTTGACAGCCCAGAATTTCTGCAATAATTTTGTCCAGTAGTAACTAGACAGAAACTTTGTTTCAGGTGCTGCAAATAAGCTGCACAACTTAGGTGAGCAAAAAATAAATCAAAATGTTTAACAGATTTCAAGTTCAATTTGTTTAGAATTAATGTATTGAGTACAAAATTATTTTTATATGTATATTTTGGATGTATTTGAATGGAAACTAAAAGGTTAAAGTTTTGGTAGCAGTTTCATTATTTTCTCTGGAGACTTGAAGCTTGTTCAAATGTTTTTTTTTATAATTAGTCAACAAAAGTGGATATTTTAAATGGCAGATGGTTAAAAGTTTCACTTCATTCATATCTTTGGTTGGCCACATGTCACTGACCTAACTGACTAGTTGGCCATTTATTTAATATAAATTATTGGTCAGTTAGGTTTGACCTTTTCATTTCACACTATATTGTGTGATATAAGCTGCTAGTAACTAACTTCTTTGAAAATTAGTTATGTAATGCATAGTTAAACTTTTCTCATAGAAAACAGTTGAAATGTGCATTATGTATCTGTTTAATAACTGAAGAATTTCATTAACAACATTGTATTGAAACTTAGTTGTTTAATTACCCTTTTTTTCCTTCTGTTAAGAAACTTTGCTTTTTGTTTGTTTTTAATTTTTTGGAAACCTATTTTAGCAGTTTATGCATTTTTTTAAATGTAAAACAGTAAAATGCTTTGGAGATTGTACTTCAAGTTAAACTTTTAGGTTCATCACTTTTTCTAAGCTGTTTGTTTAATTATATTATAGCATCAGAAATTAGCATACTAAAATATCTTTTAATTTTACTACAGGTACCTTTTTTTCATTTGTTTTTTAAGGAATTGAAGCCAACACCAACTGCAACCATTGACTTGCAACTCGGAATTTCACCCCAAGGTGGCCCACCTGCCACTGCATGGTCTCCACACATGGACAAAAAGAAGCCACTTAAAAGACCACGTATGGATAATCTTCCAAGTAAGCTATCTCATCTTTTTCTAATCATTATATGAACCTACAATGAAAGTCTGATTTCATCAGTTTGGATGGAAAATTAACATGTGGAAGATGAACATGTTAACCAATTCCTGTTGGGTATGCCTTTTTTTATAATCAGTATTGGTTTGATTATAATTTGAATTATGTCATTGAAAAAGTTTGCATTCACCCAAAACTTTATTCCTTGTGCTTATATTTTGCTTAAATCTTTACAAATGTCTTAACTTGTGAAATCTTAAAAGTTTATTTAGAAATTTTATCTACAAATCTGATTTTTAAAGTTGAGAAAGAAATAGTTGTAACAATAAATTTAGTTTAAAATGTTTTTTAATGGCAGAGTCTATAGTAATCAGAAAGCTGTATTTACATAAAATTGCTTAATTCTGAACTTGCACCTTCTAATCTTAAGGTTATATCTGAGCATTTATTCCCATTTCTAGTTGGTGCACGTGGTCCTATAGCCAATGGCCCCCTGCACACTAGACCCCTGGTGGCACTTCTGGATGGTCGAGACTGTTCTATCGAGATGCCCATCCTAAAGGATGTGGCAACAGTTGCATTCTGTGATGCTCAGTCCACCCAAGAGATTCATGAAAAGGTAAACAAGAACTTTTATTTGTGTAAAATTCTTTTCTTAAAGTAATCTTTTTTATATATTTGATTCCCTGTTACTTCATGTCTAATTTCATCAGCAAATCTTTACATCAGAGAGTTATGGAAATGAGTGTTAACAATTATCATTTGAAAGATAGTAGTCAGTAGGTGTCTTGTCTAAAAACAGAACCTGGGTCTTGAAAACACAACACCTTCTTTGTACATAGTGAATGTATTTAAACACATTGTAATAGTGGCCTAATATTTTTACAAATTTGAAATAGAAATGTTTAGGATCAAAATTTTCTTTAGTTTAGGTTTTGGTGTTTTAGGTTTTTAATTGAAAAATTGATTTTTTTTATCATTCAAGGTATAGACTGACCCATCAAAAAAAAAAAATTATTTATTATTTTGTTTATCTTCTGGAATTCTAATTTCAGAACATTTCTTCTGTGTTTATGCTGCATAAAAGAATTGTTTGTGATATCCTTTTCTGATTATTGTTATTATATGTTCCTTGTGGAACTAAATGAATGAGAATACAAAAGACATACTATTGTGATATGCTTTGTTTTCCAAGCAATCTAGTCTGCAATTAGAAACATGACACTGGGTAACAATAAAAAAATTTTTTTCTCTGATACTAGAAAAAATGCAACTATTTCGGAGTAATTTGATGATGTTGATTCTAAAAATCATGTTAAAAATTATGATCACCTCTAGCTTATTGAGTTATGATAGATTTATTCAAAATATTCTTTTATTTATTCATTGAAAATTGCATTTAAAAAAGCAATGTATTATTTACTGAAAATACATTTCATCATGGTGTTATTTTTTATTTATTTAAATAAAATATCTGAATGACTTGTTCCTTTTGTGTATGTTCTCAATTTCATGCTGTAAGAATCAACAGAAATCTCCCATCGTCCTTGATATCAGCATTCCATTGTAGAAATATCTTAGTGGAAACACTGACTATGCTCACTGCACTTAGATCATTTGAAAAGAAATCTAAATGAGAGTGTAAGAATTGCATCTTTAGTGACTTCCTAGACCTCATTTCCCTGTAGTTTTCGAGCAAATCGTTAATTGTCACAGCATAGATTTCATTTCTGCAATTTCCTAAGAGTTTTTGACAACTGATTTGAATGATTTCTTTCTGATTGTGTACTGTTTCAAAATTATTATCTATCATCACTTCCCGATTCTGTGGTCAAACAAATTTATCTCCTTTCATTTTTGATTCACTTATTTTTTGGAAACTTGTTAGACAGATATCTGAAACAATTACAATCTTTGTTCATTATCTTTACAAAATTCTTCATGAGTCACAGTTTAATATGAAGTGGGGGCAGAAACACATTTTGAGGATTTGCTAAAGGTTCATACTCTATATTATGTTTCCCTGGTACATAATTCTCTCTCATTGGCCTTTCCTTCTATTTGAAATGATTTTTATCATCTCATCTGTCCCAGAAACACAAAAAGTAACAATGTTTGGTACAGCCACTCTGCAGGCTTAACAGGATTGCAATACGTGCATCTTTTAGATTACCACATATGTTCCACCTATGATGGCCTCAAGTATAATCTGCATGCTTTGAAAAGTTTCTTTCATGTTCACAGCATGAGCAACAGGAATCGAGGGTTTAGTGTTCCCTTTGTGCTTTCATACTAACTTCAGATGAGTCGATAGAAAGTCTCCATTCTTGAGAATGATGTTCAGTACCTAATTCTTCCATTAGTGCATCAACATTTGTGCAGAAACACAAAAGTATCTTGCATGCTGTAGTGAGATGCAAGACTTTGATGGTGACTTCAATAAATTGAAACTCTTATTCCTAAAGCTAATAAATTCCATTGCTGTAAATGAGAGCCAAGAAGTTCCTCATGATGCTTTGATAAAGAGACAAGTCATGAATCAGGTAATTTAGCTCTTCTTGTGTGATCAGATGAGGCATGTTATGCTGAGGTGTTACAGGAACAGAATTACTAAATGAAAAGGATGAAGATGATTCATTATGTTGTTTGCAGGATAACTCTTCTATTTCCCGATTCATTGGTAGATATGGCACTGGAAGACCATCCCCATGAGGTACTGGTTTCATTGCAGATGCAATCAGTATCTGGATATTTAATGTATTGTTTAGTTTTGCCCGATTATCCAGAAACATTAGTCATGCAAAAATAAGTCAGTTAGATGATCTTTGGGCTTACGCTATATCATGGAAACTGCAAGTGGCATACTTTCTCTCTTCTTATTCAGCCACGATGTCAGGACAGATGTGCAAACTGTAGAGCACACATGTGGAGCCCAATGTTTTTCTTGGTCACCAATTTTACATACAAAATTGTGGTAGTTAGCTATCTTTACCTTGTGTGTGATGTTTTTTTCCTTGTTTAACTGAAATTTATTTTCCACAAATGTAGCAGAAACTGTTTGGGTGATTTTTGCACTTTTGGACTTTACTTGAACTGAATTGAAGGCAGCCAGCATTTCAAATGATTTTCTAAAAAATATAAAAGAATTTATGTTTACAAAACTAAAGCTTAACAGATTTTGAAAAACAATTTTTTGAAGAATTTGATTATATTAGGGATATGATGCAAGAAAGAAGATTGGACTGTGTTTTGATAGTGAGCAAGGTGAAGTGACCAACTGAGTGAATGAGAGGTGTCTAATTCTGCCTTTTTTATGCTCATTCAAAGGACTTCTCAAATGTTCTAGCAAACTGAGCACTTGAGGGTTTTTTGATTCCTGTGCAGAGCAGGTGAGCATGGGAATGAAGCAAAAGTGGTTCAAATCACTACAATTATATTGAGAACAAATAGCATATATGAACAGTATATTTGGAATTTTACACAGTATAATACAGTCAATGTTTGAATTTATCAAAAGTGTATGCCTTTTACCCATTAAAGTGGGCAAGTAAACTTAATTTCACAACATAAATTTATTGTACTGAGTTGATTGCATGGTATTTCACCTAATGCTGATAAAATATTGAGATGTTACAATAACTAAAATATAAAGGTGTTGAACAAATTCTGACTACATTTCTGAAATCAGCACCATCAAATTTCTAGAGTTTTCTCCATTAGCAAATTTTTGTTGTCCAGGCTATTGCATAATTAAAGGTTTATTTTCTGTTATATTTTTGAAAAACCTGTACATTTTATTTTAATATAAACAATAAACAAATGCAGTTAGAATGTGATAATCAGAAAATTTAAAGAATTGTCTAAAGTTGCTGTAAGGAAAAAAAATTGAGATCAACATTTTGGTGTAATAGCCTTATTATACGTGTTCCAAATTTGTAAGTTTAAGAATGTTTTAGTTGTTAGTTTTCAAGGTAACAACATGTCTTTTTAGCTATGAAAAAACAAAGCTCATTGTTAATAAATATATTTCAATTGTACTGCAAACTTAGAACAACTCACATTATGGAAAGAAACCTATAGCCAGCATGTATTATTGATTCAAATAATAGCTCCATTGCTTCAGTAAATCCTTTTTTTTAAATGGTTGTGTGGTGAAAAGTATTTGTACAACCAAGATGCAATACACTTTAATTGAAGAAATGTATTTTAGATTTTGGATTGTTTTTCAGGAGTATCATATTTGTATAACTGGACATCATCAAGCCTACCTTGAGTTTCACTGAAATATGACATTTAATATTAAAATATTAATTGGTGATTATAGTACCTCCAGCAGCCCTAAAAATCTTAAGAATTGCTTTTTTTTAATACCTCTCTAAAACTTACATTTATTCTATTTCCGGTGGTCTTGGGATGTTGATCTGATGATGATTGCAACTTTGACCTGGTGTAATTAACTGGTGGTTTCATGGATGTGGATTGAGCAGGAAATCCTTTAGGTAAGATTGATGTTTTTTATAATAACATTTTCAGAAAACCACCAGATGTAAAGTTAAAACATCATCATCAGCATCCACATCTCCAGACAGATGGTAACTAATCTGGTTTAATCAGGTAAGATAGGCCATGCATAGCCTATTGGTTGGCATGTAATACTGTAGCTTAACTCTTTAAACTCATAATTTTTTGCATATTCTGCCAGAATTATTTTCATGATGTCATAATGATTATCACCATATTTTATAAAACTGAATTATTCCAAATTTTGTGGATATTAACATCGTTTGGATTAGTTTTCAGCCAAAGAGACATAAAAGTTGTTGGACTCTGTCATTGTCTGATGGGTAAATCGGGATTTTTGGCCATGTGCTGGCAGTGTCTGCACAGGTTTAATGGGTTTAAGGTTTGAAGTTGCTGAATACACTGCACTTCCAGTTATGGGTTTGTTATAATTGTAACAGTCAATCTAGTTTCAAAAAGCCAGATATTGTCCTTGTTGGAGTGGGTGTTGCTGGCTGAATTACTAAATCTGAATCCTTGGGGTCTTTTGCCTGGTTATTTAGCCCATGTGTGCATAAAATGTCATTAAGGTTGATAAATACCAGTTTCGTATCAGCTAATAATAATAATTGTTCTATTATTAAAATACTTTCATTTCAAAGTATAATATTGAACTTAACATTTGCTCTAATTCTCCCTAATATATTTTTGAAAATATTACCACCTTTTTACCTAAAGACTAAATTTGTCCATAAAAATATTCTTTCTGGCTAGAAAGCCTGTAACCAGTTTATTGATCATAGAAATGGTCAGCTGGAATGGTTGGATGCTATCTAAATAATTGACAATTTATTATTTAAAAAATATATAACTATTCCATGAACAAAATTTAAAAAAGAATTGATAGACAAAGATCATTTTCATTTGATCATAGTTTCAGGCTATTGTTCCATATATTAGTCTCATACAAGCTGTGAAATCTTTTGTGGATTTTATAAAATTGCAACTAGAATTTCTAAGTTTACTTAATCTGTTTTCTCTATCTTATCAACATCCACAAAAAGTTTGATTGGTGCCTTTCCATTTCTGTTAAAGCAATAGATAGCAGTTGAATTCACC